GCAAGTCCGAATGTCTGTTCATACTTGTTGCCGTTAAATGTACTGAAGGTAGTCTATTGCAACACTGATTAGTCGTGTTAATCACTTCTTTCTGATCTTCCTTGTTTCGAGGATATCTTCTCGGTCCAAAATCTCCAGCAGGACCACTAGCGCCTTTTCTCCAGAGATGTTTGTGTTTCTAGATTGTAGATAAAAATTTAACAATAATTCTGCTTATTTCAGTGTCACGTTTTTGATCCTTCGAAAAAAAAATATATATACGTGGTGTCGGATATATTTTTGACATTCACCTTAGTGTTTTTTCTATAAAGTTTCTTTCATTTTAAAGATCAAAATTCGGTACTTTTTTCGGGATCTTAGTAGTTTTAGGATCAAAGAGGAAGTAAGGATGGATGAATGGAAGTATGGATGGATTCATCACCTAATTCCGATCGTCGTATTGTTCAGCAGATGTCGTCATCTCGGAAACTCTTTCAGCTAATGGCGATCGCTTTAATTTACGTTGTCTTATAATCACATACCTGAGCAATTTATTGTCGTATTTTTTTGTTATTAAGTCATATATTCTTTGTGATTTCTTGTCATCCGTACTCTTGAGTTCTTGAATATCTTCTAGAGACAGAATCTTGGTCAGATTACGCCGGAGGTTTGACTTAATATCTATAGATCTAAATAGCTTATTCCTCTCAATATAGTAGATTTCGCTTAACTTCTATATGGAGGCCTAATGAAGAGTCTCATTAGTTCTATCTGTTTGGTAGTATATCTTAAGGACAAGAAACCTTCGGTAATCAAGATAAGAGCTTTGCACTGAGTGTAGTCTGCTCTAAGACATAATTACAATTTAGGGGGCCTGGCGGTCACATATCTAAGGAGACCGATTATTAGAGCCGTCAAAAAAATTCGGCCTTATGGTCAAACTGACTATGATTACACTCGATGTATTTCAGATTATCACAGATAGACGTTCACATTTTGCTCAGGGTACCGGGTTTCAATCAAGGAAATGACCCATGGGGACATTGTATGGCATCTTTAAGCATGGAAATGAGAGTCTACGCGCTCTGCAAAGCGAAGTGTTACGTTAGGGATGATAAATAGATACTGGAGACAAAACATACACTAAAACTGGGATCAAGTGAAATCGGTTTACAGAGAGGTAAGAAACGGATATACGAGCCACCGAGACAGATCCGGATGATAAGCCCAAATCATGTCAGCAAATTGAGGTGGAAGGCAAACAAGGCAAACTACAGGTTTGATGACGTCAATTAAACTCGCCACAAAGGATACATCCATAGAGGAGTGGAATATAAACAAATCACAAGCGGTGATAGGGCGGAGGTGAGATATGAGTGTAGCGGGTAAGAAGTTGTGATAGGACAGAAATATGAATAGTAACATTACCGTTCTACAAAAAGTAGCCAAAGGGGTTGACTTCATTCGTCTCGTTGACGAGTTGTTGCTTTGTGTTGAGACGACGACACTCACGATGTCGATTATAATGCTGACGAAACGTCTTGGAATTTATTAACCCCACGATCCAACACTGGAAATTATCATATCTGCAACAGTAGAAGATTTCGCAGAAGGAACGTCCAACTAGCTCGCCCTGACAACATGACTTACTTGCGATAACGATGTCAGATCACTTTCATAAGCCTTAATTATAGTGTGTCACTAATCATTTAATTATTGATACTCAGATTAATGCCAAATAGTTCTCACAAACCCGATATCTTTTCCAAAAATAAATGAAAAAACTTTATTTATATATATTTAAATTAAATGCAATATAGTCGAAGGAATGAAGACTAGGGCGATGTTTTTCATTTAGTATGGTCGCGGTATCCCTTCGTTGTATAGAAGTTGCTTGATCTTTGGTTCGCAACTTGGTCATATTAACAGGAAGATCTAGAGGAACTCACCTTGTCCGGAATCCATAGTATTCATGATCATGTCCACAGTAGGACCATGCACTTGGTAAATTCTGACAGAAAGTCGGTCAAGGGATCGACGATGCCGACTACGATCCTGGTGAAACGTCTGGGAGTGTACCAAGTCCACGGTCCGAATCTGGAAATGATCATGTATACTATTAACTCCGTACAAGATACGTTCCTCTAGGTCTTCCTGCTAATATGACCAAGTTGCAAAACCAAGGTCAAACAACTATATGCAATATAGGTGATAATTATTTTTATATGAGCTTATAATTATGATGCCGTAATGGATGATGCTTTTTTCAGCATTATGTTTACATTTCTAACATTACTGATATTTGATGGTGGTTATTTTGATTACAATGATGCTTAACTCTTTTCTTCTTCTAACAAGATGAAGGCATGGATACCGCTTTGGGTCGCTCATTATCCGGCTCTAGCCTGATCTCACCAGCCACTAGTACCACATCCAATCATTGCTTAGCTTCTGGTAACTCTACTGGCACTCATAATTTTGGCAACCCTTCTATTCTGTTGCAACTCACGGGTACTTTGCCATCGGATGCAACTACTGATGGACGACTTCTTATTCCAAAACCAGCATATCTCCGAGAGCCACAACCCAGTCGGTCCAACCGGATGCGACGAATGGCTGCAGCTGCAGCAGCAGCAGCTAGTATGACTATTTCCACAGCTCCGTCATTCATTGCATCGCCACTATTTGGCGGGCTTGGTGTTGACTTACATGGGAACAAGATTGAAGGATTGATGAGTCGTGGACTCGCAAATATGCAGACGCCCGGAGGACCTTCTATTTCTGCCAACACCGGCATCGGAAATTTCATCGAGGAATCACATTTTCCAAATTCTACGGGGTCAAGTGGCTCCACGTTACCACTACTTAGCCTCTCCCAACTTACCAAGTATGCCCAATCCCCACTTCATTTTGCTTCTACTGGATACGCAGCGATTGCTTCGGCTGTGGCCGCTTCAATGCTTAGTTATCCTCACCAACATACACAGTCATCACAGACACCGCAGCAACACCAGCATCAGCAGCATCTACTTGCTCAGCAACTTGGGGTTCCGTCAAACCACGAACGTTCGTCTGGGATATTACCCACATCAGCTTTGGCCAGACAGCAAGCCAGTCAGCACCTTC